AAATATGTAATAAAAAAAAAGAAATTTCCAATAATGACTAATAAATCGGAGCTAAATTTGAATCGAAAAATGCTATTTATACACCAGGGTTGACACCCCGGTGTACATACCCCCTCACAAGAGAGGGGACCCACGACCAATAAAAAAATAGTGGGCCCCTCTCTTGTGAGGAGGTTTGCACACCGGGGCGTTAACTCCGGTGTACAAATAGCATGGTCCATTTGAATCATAGCCCTGCAACTGCTCGCAAGGACAGAATCACCAGAGAGTTTATATCCACGTTAAAAATTTAGGCTTTTGGAGCTTTCTAGAGAACTGATAAATTAACACCAAGTTTTGTGTTCGCTACTAATGTACACAAAGTACATAAATGACCTGAGCAATGACATAAGCATAACCGAAATAATTAGCACTCACCTGCTGGTCCATACGTCACAAAATAAATATTTGCACATCGATCACCAGGACTCTCATCAAAGGAATGCATAGCCTCAATCGCTTGGCTAGACACACAACGGGCTCCATAAACTATGGAACTAAAGGCCTCGGGTTATGCTAGTACATATGTACCATTTAAGTTCGAATTCTGATGCAATCAACATAGATTTCAGTTCAATAAACGTATATTGTACACAATTCAAACGGTCATTTGTACAACTAAGAAAATGGTTGAAAAATTGAAATTCAATCTTTCACTTTTTGAAAAAGTTGTCTTGGATTAAGGTAAATTAAGAACTAGTCCTCTTGAAAATTCAAATGTTCTTTAACCAAAGGGTGATTTTTGGTCAAAATAACGTTGAAAACTTCGCCTTTTTTTCTTTTATACCACCCCACCCCACCCCACCCCACCCCAATAGGGAAAAACACTTCCAAAATTCCGACATAAAACTCTATAGTTGGCTTTAGAAAATTGTTTTTGCTTTTTAAGGTAGTCATATTTTTTAATGAGTAATGCTATTCATCCTCACTGGGGATGAAAACACAGTCTACGTGACGTAAATGTGTCATTAAATGATATGTGAAATTAAATAAGTGATTTAATTTCACCTTTCATTTAACCTATTATTTAAAGTCATATAGACTGTGTTTTCATCCCCACTGGAGATGAATGACATTACTCTTTTTAAATTGAATTAGATACCAACATATGAATAGTAGTTTGATATTATGTTTTTTTTTTCAATACTCAATTAAATTGATAAATGTAGATTTCAAGCTCTCCATAGAGAACAAAAATAGTCGTCATGGCAAACTATAAATTTAATTACAAAAAGATTGCACCAAAACAAATAGGATAATGCTATTTATGATTATCATCAATATAGGTTGCTACGAGTTTCCTCATTAAGCCATGTTTGTCTATCATTCTTCAAAAACTCTTTTTTTTGGGAAACTCATTTTTTCCATTCATTATCATAATTAAATATTTTGTACGTAAACCCAAAACTTATTTTTATACCACACATTCTACAAAAAAATTGCATGGTTGTCCAAAAAACGTTTTACATACCAAGTTACACCGAAGTTTATATATAAAAAATCAACATGATAATTTCCTCTTATTTTAATCCCCATTTAATGAAGGGTTGAGATGGGTTCTACCCCAAATAAAAAAAAATGTAAAAGAGGTAAAT